TACTTACAAAATTCATTCAGAATCTAAGCATGTCTGATCACACTATTGCCATCATCAAGAACTTACCACATCTTACCCAGATGACAGCATTCCTCACTTATTTCTGCCTGTCGACTTGCCCGATATGGAGTCTATTCTTGGAATAACAGCCAGAGTGATTCCTCGTAAATGTAAATGTAATCATAGCACTTTTCCATTTAAACTCTGTCATGGATCCTGTTTCATGTAGGATAAATCCTCATTTTTTTAAAAGATGTTCTAAGATTTAGAAGCTTAGGATTTCAAAAGTCCTAACATAAATTTATTTTAATGCCTCTCCTGTTCCAGTACTATCTTATATTTTGTAGTCTACATATGAAAATAAATTAGGGTTACTGTGGCAAACACTACAGAATCACAAGTAAAAGGCACAATCAGTAAAACTTCTCCAGAACACACAGACTATACTTACAAATTTGAACTCTGTTGAAAATATTTCTCTAGTTAGATGATAGACATAATCCTTGATCTATCTATAGGGAGACTATGTTTAAAGGAAAGAGCTGTTCCTTTAGGCAGAAAATCCAACTTGTTATTTTTCTGAAGGACTTATAAATTCACCGTATGTGAGCAACAAGTGGCCAAAATTAATTGAGCTAATTATAAATGATTCTTGGTCATGAAAACTTTAAATCCCTCTCAACTTTGTATTCCTGACAGCCTCTTTTTTACTTCATAAGGATTAATCACTTTTTCAAATATGAAATTGTACAACATATCTTTTCTTTGAATTTTCCAATATGAAAAAGTGGAAAAGGGTTTTGCTTGTGACTCGGTTGGAAGTTCAATAGTAAGGGAAATATGTGTCTCAAAGTCTATGCACTTTGTTCTAGCAGAGTAAAGACCCACCCTCAGGTATTAGCCTATGGAAAGGGAGATTTATGATGGAACTTGTTGGTTATCTAGTTTCCATTTATGTCTTAGCATACAGATCAAAAGCAGGGAGGAGGTTTGTGGTGGGCAGGGCTACTAATAGTTGATAGTCCAAGAAGTGACGGTAACTCAGAGTGTGCAGAGACAGCAGAATTGCTAGCAATAAAACCAGTTGGAGTCATTTACTATAATGCCCTGAAGACATTATCACAGTAGGGACTAACCAGTAAATAGTGTTCACAATGAATACACTGAATCATCAGAAAAACAAATGAAACAATACAACACAAAATCATCTTTAAGAAATCTTAATTAGTATGGAATATATTTTAGAAAGCTTTCTACTAAAATAGCTTTAACCAGTGAAAAACTGGTATAGTCAAAACAGTACATCTTAGTCTTCTTTAATATGAATCTGCTTATTCTCAGAATATGCCAGACTGATGGGGAGTTAGCAGACCTACATGAAATTTGTAGATGACCAAACCTATGACTTCTTGGAGAGAATATATTTCTTAACAGCTTGGGATTGCAACCTGTCAGCTGTGGGAATTTAGACCAGTTGTGGGGGTGCTAGAAACCTCTGTTTTCTTAACTACAAAAGGGATCTCATGATTCCTAACTATAAGTGTGTGAGGAGTTTATATACAGAGCCTGGTACAAAGAAAATACAATCTAAAAGACAGTATCTGTAAGTATTGGGAGGGACTCATTTACAGTTTTCGTTTTTTCTTCTCTCTCAAGACAGCAGTGATGGACTATAGTATTCTCCTTTCTGTATGTAGGAGCTTATGTCGGGACCTGAGTGTAATTAGGTGATCAAGTACCTGGCACTTTTTTCTTGGTTGAGCTCAATCAAACTTCTTCTCGTTCTCCTGTTTTCTTTCACAAATGACCCTGTTCCTTTCATTGGTGAATTCTTTCCTCCTATTTTAGCACAGTCTAGTAAACTTCAACAAATCTGGTTCCTGCAGTCCAAATGGACCTTGGAATAAAACTCTCAATCACCGTTACAATGTCCTTGAAGGATGACCTGGTAAGCAGTTTGCTTAAACATTTCAATGTGGAAGTTTACTAGACTTCTTGTGCATTCATTCATAAAATTCAGCACCCTTATGAGATTGGTATAATATTATCAATATCTTTGCAGTAAAGAAATTACATACAAGATGTTAGTATATTAATGGCCTAAAGTCACATAGCTCATCCTCTTTAGTTTCTGTTCTGTAAGCAGCAGCCAGACTGACCCTGTTAAAACTTTTGCCATAGAACTTCTCCACTTGAAACCTTCCAGTGTCTTCTCACATGCCCCAGAGTAAAAACTAAAGACTAAATGTTCTTTAAGGCCCTTTTAATGTAGGGTCAAGCTTCATCTAGCCACGTTGGCTTCTGGTATTCTTGAGATCTGCATACAACCTTTGTGTATGGCTGCTCCCTCTATCTGGAAAAATCTTTTGCCAGAAAGCCACATGGCTTTCATATCTTCTTTTAGATATCTGTTCAAATGATACATTTTCAGGGCAACCATCCTTACAGAAAATTGCTCTCCACACTTCATCATTCTCTGTCCTCCCTTTATTCCATTTTCTGGTTATAAGTCATAGCATTTGTCATTAACTATTAATTTGTTTCCTTTACCTTAACGTCATATAATATAATAGTTATGGGAACTTTTGCTTCCTTACACGTTAGTGTACATCTAATATATAGAATACTACCTCACCCACAGTAGGTAGTTGTTATATAACAGCTGAATCAAGATTATTGTTGTTTTGAGTGTAAGCTGCTGTTCATCCTGTACCATATGGTTGTTTCAGGGATATTTGGATTTAGTCGTAGCGCTTAACTTTTGCTAAACCCCTTACTGAAATGTAAGATAATATTATGTCTTCGGCATTTTTATTATTAAAAAACCATTGTGTACGTTTATTAGTGAGAAAATAATGGAGGCAGCATCTGACTTGCTTTTAGTAAATCCTTTATGAACCAGCTATACATTATCCAAGTGCTTAATAATCACAATAGAAAGTTATGTTTATAGTTTTAACAAATGTCAAGGTCACACCTTCTCTCTACCCTTTATGAAATGCACTCTAACCTCCAACCTTTTTCAAAGTTAGACTAGCTTTCTTATAGGTCCAGTCATTCAGTTTTTGTCTGGATCTCTATTCTTTCTTATCAATAACATGTTTCTTAAAGCCAGTTCTTTTCCTGGGTTTCATCCCCTGGGTCATGAGTGGATTCTTTTTATTCTCAGAATGGACTCAAAGATAATAATACTTCTAGGTAACAGTACATCATTACCTTTTCAATGCAGAGTGAACAGAAATTCCAACAATTCAGTGAGTGCTTGCTGTTGGCCACCATGAGCTAGTTTTTGCAAAGAATCACTATATACGATTCCACCATTTCCCTTGTTTCGTGAAGTTTCTTGGCTTCCTACATTTTCTTGTCTCACCACCGTCTCAGGGTTCTTATCCATCTATTTTTAGCTTGGATTTATATCTTGCTTTCTTTATCTTAATTTGATCATGTTAATCTTATTTTCTGCCTCAGTGAATTGAATTTGGACTACTCCATTTTCCCTCCTACCCCAAGTATTTCATTCATGAAGTTATCTGAGTAGAGGCTTGTTTCAACTTTTATTCATGAAATATCCTTGTTCAGAGATGCACATGCTGCTGTCCTTTGTATTGCCTGGTGTTCTTCCTAAAGCATGTGACCCACGAGTAGATTTGGATTCTTTGTATGTGAGAAAGTCTTACTGAAACTTCTTCACTGATTTTTCTCTGAACAATTTTATTATTTAACTTGTCATGTGCTTTATTTTGATTCACATTTGATTGCAGTAGTGCCCGATTCATCAGCTTCACTAAAGACACAAGTCCTTCTGCTATACTTTACCTATGGCTCCATTATTGCTTTTAGATTGTAGTTTACCACTGAGCTCAGAACCTATACTCTAGAACCAGATGGCATGGATTCATGTCCTGGTCCCACCCCTTATTAGCCTAGTGAGGTCTAGCTACTTAAGCCTAATTTCACAGCCCATAAAATGGTGATGAAAACATTTGCCTATAGGTAGGTTGTGATGGTTGATCAAAATGTTGCAACACGAAGCAGCTTGAGCAATTATCACTTTTCTTATTCTACAACAATATGTACAACTTTGGAACAAAGTGAAGCAGTGCAGTTTTTTCAGCCCTGGTTATTACCATTTCATCTGAACCTGGAAGACTTGTTTCTCTGGGTGAAGAAATGCTTTCTCTGAGCGAAGGTTTCATAATCACAATCAAGCAGGCCTATGAGCCCTACCACTTAAAGTGGCTCCTGTCTTTTATCTATGACATGCTTACACCCTGGGAATGAGGACATTGAGTCAGCTGCTGAGCTTCCACAGGATAACCAGTAACGTCTCTTTGTATTTCACACTGCCATGATCCCATGCCTATGGATGCCCAGAACTTGACATGGACCTTTTTGGATTTCATCATGTGGCATTATTACGTCCTTGTAATTTCAACTGAGTTTTAAACAGGTGAGTGAAAGGGAAGGAGGCACGTGATGAAGTCAGCCATGAAGTTTAACATGGTCTTTTGAGAAATAGAAAATGATAGTTTAAAGCTTTTCTGAAGCCAGGTCAGGAGAATCAACCTGTATAGTGGAAATAGTCTTATCATTTCTTAAATGAGTAGATATGAAAAATGACCAGAAAAAAGAATTCTATATAGACAAAGGCAAAGTAGCTTATTTAGCAAGCAAAATCTTAACCAAGAAATGAATTTTTTGAGCATTCACTTTAAATAAAAATAAGGGAGGAATAACTATTGATGGAACTGTTGTTGATGCATCAATATTCATCCATAATTCCTAATTCTAACCTTCTTTTGCCACTATAAAATTATAATAACTTCAGTGTATCTTTAACAGCTTTTAAGCAACATATTAACCAAATGTCCGAGTTTTGATTTGGCCATAAAATCCTAGCAGAGCTAAGGTTTTCTAGGATTAATGAATAACATGTCTTTATTTAGTTTACTTAAAAAAATCATTCTAAAAATCTGTTTACATATCTCTCCTCTCCAGGATTAACTTTATATTGATTCAGCAGCTTGTTTACTGTTCTCTTCTGTTTCTTCTTCTTCCTTTTTTTGTCTTCCCTTCTCAGTGCCCAACCCAAGTTCAAAGGCTGATGAGAGAGAAAAAAAAAACTCATGAGGAGATTTTACTCTAGGGAAAGTTGCTCAGTGGATGGGATCTTGGTGCACGGGGAAAGATGTCCAGCTCCTCCTGGCTCCTTCTCAGCCTTGTTGCTGTGACTGCTGCTCAGTCCATTGAGGAACAGGCCAAGACATTTTTAGACAAGTTTAACCAGGAAGCTGAAGATCTGTCTTATCAAAGTGCACTTGCTTCTTGGGATTATAACACCAATATTACTGAGGAGAATGCCCAAAAGATGGTGAGTTCTCATGGCTACATAGAGGGTTTTCGTTACTTCTTAAAGATTAGAATCATTGCCTGTAAAACTGGATAGGGAAATCATAGAAGTCTCTGAATTGTGAGACTGAATGATTATCGCCTCTGTAGCTCTGATCCTGGTGTCCCATATGACTAAATTCAATAGACCTTGGAGTTTATTGGGAAAACGGTTACAGACTAATTCACTGATCTCAGTTCAGATTATAGAGACAAGTGAATATGTTTGGTGAAGTTATCATCAGAATTCTCATCATACTCAGTATTTTAAAGCATTTCATGGCAATGTCACATTGAGTCAATGTTATGGAGTTACTAATTTTCTCTGACCTATAATGCCAGAAGGAATATCCATAGACTGCAAATGATATATTAACTGAAAAATGCAAGTGGAGGTTTATTGCAACCAGCAGCTTAGTAATTAAGGTAACCATGGGTTAGGTAAAACTGGACTTGGGAATTCCTTTTCTTGTTGTCACAGAGCACTGAGGAATTTCCAAAGGTCATCGAAGAAACACTATAATTAAACTAGTCCTGAAAGATCTCAGAATCCTCTGGGAAAGCGGATATTTTGTTTGACAAGTGCAAGGAGTTAAGAAATGTTTTCCTTTCACGGATCCCAAAGCAGGACCTTTACACATTTAAGAAGTGGAAAATTAAGTAGCTGGTTAAGAAAAGGTTGCAATACTTTCCTTCAAAACTACAACCTGGAAGCTTATATTTGTCAAACCATTAGAGTGTTTCATGTTTAAATTAAATTAATGCCAGTCACAGAAGAGAACTGAGAACATTGTCTCCTTTGAAAATCTTAAGGTGTTTTTTTTTTCCCCTCTATTTTTCGAAAGCACAAGAAAGCCAAGTAGATTTGGACAAGAGTTGTTTTATCTGATCTTGCATTGTGGCCTTCCCTTTCTTCTTTTTATTGTAACTTTTTTTCTCAGCTTTTTATTTCTGTTGGAGGTGGCTGAAATGTATTGTACATTGTTTCTTCTCAGCTGAATGGTTCATGGTGATGCTAGTTTCATGCCTAAGAGCTCTGGAGTCAGGATATTGACATGCAAATCCCAGCTTCATCACTCTTTAGCTGGGTGAACTTGAACTAGTTAATTAGATTGTCTATGTTCTGAGTTTCTTCTTAAAATTTTATTATTATTATTAAATTACGTGTGTTCATGTGTATCTCTTTCTGTGTATATGCACATGAGTGGTGGTCACAAGGGAGGCCAGGGGTGTCAGATTCCTTGGAGCTGGAATTACAGATGGTTATGCACCTCCCTGTGTGGGTGCTGGGAACAATACTCGGATCTTCTGCTAGAGTGGCCCATGCTTTTTACTACTAAGTAATCTCTCCCTGCCCAAGCCTTAGTTTTTCCATCTGTGAAAGGAAAAGAGCACCCATATATGCCTCATCAGATTCACAAAATCATTCACCAGAATGGTGCTTGTTGCATGTGGGCTTAGGAGAACAGCAAAATATTGTTGCTATTAGTGTGAGAGGGAGTTAGGGTTTTTGAAGAGGTATATAATAGTTCTTTTGTGAGCCTGGTTGTGTAGAAGTCATTCTATGGAATGACATGTAGTGATGTTTGTTGAAAGCATCTCTGTGAACATTATAGTGTTGTGGTTGTAGGTCAGTGACAATGTTTAAAAAGGTGTTATCCTTTTAAAGTTATTGGTCAGAGCAAAAACTAGAAGTGAAAGAGTATAAATCATCAGCTGTGATTAAACTGGAGAAACATGTGGACCCTTTAAAGGAAAATGGAAATACTTAAATGAAAGAAAAACAGCAAAGGACTCCATATCTCCGTCACCAGGAAGAGGTGAAAAGTGCATTAAAGCACTCAGGTATACCTGTGTGGGTTTATGTGCAGAGGGAGGTAACTGATGTTGAGGAAAATGGCTCCTCCTAGTCTCTCCTGTTTTTCTATTTCCATGTGTTGAGATTCTCTTATGTACTGGGTAGCGTTGCAGGTGTTACAAAAAGTTCTAAGATGAGGCTGCCAAAATATGCTGTGCTATAAGGGTAATGGTGCATGTGGGCTGTGATCATATAGAAGTGTCTAGTATAGTAGGTATGGAGTGGAGCCAAACATTCCAGATTCAGATCTTCATCTGAATCTTAAAAGCTGAAGGTCTTGAGCAACTTTTTAACTTCCTCCAGATTCATTTGACTCAGCTGTAAACTGAAGATTATGATCACATTATTAGTAATATAGTATATACTACGTGGGAATGCTGAACATGGGAAATATATGAGAGGGGTGTGTGTGTGTGTGTGTGTGTGTGTGTGTGTGTGTGTGTGTGTGTGTGTGTAGTGGTGCAAGGAATCAAACTAGTGTTGTCCATACTAGGTAAGTGTGCTGGCACTGGACTCTATGTTCAGTCCAGGTAGTTTTGAATCAAGATTTCCCTGAGGAAGTCAGATTTGAAAGAAGCTGGAGTCTCCCATCTCTGAGGCTCTCTCCTAAGATTCACAGAACAGCTGCTGGGAGGATATGAACTTGGGGGCAACACAATTCCCAGAAACAGCCATAATGTTCCTTCCTTCGCCTGCTTCTTGGCTTGTAGTCAGCAGAGAATTCAGGGTCAAGAATTAAGAAATATCAACCTTTGTCTGTGTATTTTCACAACAAGCCTTTCCTGGACAAAGGAGAGAATTTGTTCCCATAAATTTACATCCTACTGACTTTACTCTCTCTCTATATTTTTTTACAGACCAACATTTGTTTTTATAAGATATGTACTAACTCACAGAATTAGAAACTCTGAGTTTATTTTAGTGAGACTATTTCATGATCTAGTTTATCTTTTGGGGGGTGGCTAACGAAAAATGAACTTCTTGGACAGAGAAAATAAATGGCTCTGGAATTCCCAGTGCTTAATATTTGCTTAGCAAGTAAAATGTTTGTAATTACCATCAATATCTTGGAGGCCATTAGGCTTTTCTAACCTTAGTTTTGTGATACATTTATTACTTCAGAGAGGTTTTGAAAGTTTCAAAAAAAGCTTTAAAATAAAATAAACATTTGAATACAGCCAAAGATTATTTTGAAGATCATTAATATATAGGCAAGTGTTTGATAAAAGGTCCTTAAGTATAACACAAGTGTTTACCACCCAAAGTTGTGGTATGTTATAAAATTATAGAAATTGGAACTGGTCTGAAAAATCCAAATTGTATATAAGTTGGCTGTTTCTGGGAGCTGATGTGCTATAAGAAATCATTTTTTTGATCAGAAAAAGACATAGAAGACATACTTCTATGACCACAATGGTTAGCATCATTTAGATGATTCTGAAAGTAAAAGAAACAACAGTGTTCTATATCTTTAAAAACACAACGCTAGTGTTTATATATGAAGGCAGAGTTTAGGAACGGGCACTTGCCCTCCCACATAGAATAGTTAGAATGATTTAAGGAAGTGAGAGAGGGTTGGGTGGTGCAGAAAACCTCACTAAAGAAAACAGTTCCAGTTACACAGAATAAGAAACAAAAGAGTGTTGACAGTTATATTGGCCCAATCTTTTTACACCTGAAAGACAATACAGCTGAAAGCTCTACAAAGATAAATTCAGAGTAAATAGAAAGAAGCACTATTTATGCCACAGGTAGTAAAACTGATAAGACCTGTAAAACTGTAATCTAAAAAATGTGAGACATTTAAAACTATAAATAGGTTTTTGAAGCATTTAGACAAACGTGTGCACTATAAATCCAACGGAGTTTGTTAAGGAGGTGTGGTCTATTGCATTGATGGACCCAATTCTTCATCCTTTGCCATAATAATGTCTTAAGTCATGCTACTTTGCAGTGCATTTCAGGTTATATGACTGTGTTGTTCATCATTGGTCTTGCTTGGTGTTAGAAGGGTGATGAAAGCCCAGGCTTAATGGGTTTAACAGTGGGGCTTATCCTTGGCACCTTTGTCTTTGCCTAGAGAACCTGTTTGAACTAGTCAGCTAAAAATGAGAGACACGGAGTAGGTTGCCCGAGCAGAAGCCAACTTCCAGAGTTGTAAGCAAATCTAAACAAGATCAGCAGAGCTATCTGCAAACTCCAAGTTATTTTAGGCACATAAACAATAAACATTTATGCTACTGAGACTTTTGGTTGTTTCTTAGATAGTACTGTTATAACAACAGATAACTTATACAAAAAGAGAAATTAAACTATCACATTTATGTATTCATTTCCTATCAACGTGATATTATTGAGGTCAACCTGTTATTTTCATATTGTCCCCTGAGGGAACTTTTAGAAATCAGGACATTGGGCTTGCCAGACTACAGATCTAAAATAGGATGTGGTACTTAAAGCTGTGAGAAGATGTTTTAAAATAAATGAAAGCTTGAAACTTGATTAATATGTGTAAAAGGTGAGACGGATCAGAAGACAGGGGTAAGGAAAAAACTTGGTTCAAAATAGGTTTCTATTTAATCCCATCACTCAGGAGGCAGAGGCAGGCAGATCTCTGTGGGAACGAGGCCAGCTGGGTCTACATAGTGAATTCCAGGTGGTCTGGGGCACTAGAACCTTAAAAGGGAATAAGGATTGCTTAGTATCCCCAGGAAAAGAATTCTCACAACAGATGGAAAATTTATTTGTTAATGTTATGTCTCACAGTTATTAAAAAAAAGAAAATGAGAATGTAAAAGATGTTAAAAGAATATGGGAATGGAGATATTTTCCAAAATAGAAAAAATGAGAAACCCTCAGCAAGTGATGAAGGTCTGTATAGGCTTGTTATGATATACAAAGGATGAGACAAAAATAATATACATAAAATCTTAAAATTTCTAAGGTCATAGTTTAGTCAACTAGTTAAAGGAACAAAATATATATCTAGTCAAGGCTTATTTGAGAACATTTGGTTTTTTACACAAGCTTTATCTACATAGCACATGGTAATTAAAAGTACCAGACTGGTGGAACTAACTTTATTGGATGTTTAACAACATACTTTGAGGCCTATACTAATCTGG